CAGCACATAACTTGAAGCGACAACAAAAACACCCCTCCCTGCCCAGGGGATATTTCTGGGTCAGGACTTCCTCTCTCAGCCAAAGAGTCAGACATTGCTGGACATTTTCCCAGCATACTACCCTGCTTCTCTGGCTGACCTTTAGGGTTAGGACCTCTGGATAGGAGCCCATGACAGATTGTGATATGGCAAATGTGGCTGCCCCTGGGCTCACAAAAATGTAGTTTTTCATTTCAAATAGACTCCAAAAATCCCTAATGGCCATATACAAGCCATTCCTTGTCCATGAGGTTAATGCAACAGACCCACCACCAGCAGGCCATGCACTCCGAATTGCTTTTTCCAGTCCTGGTTCCCCTCCATTTACCTCATCATGAGAAATATGCATATGAGAGGTCAGGGTTAAGGTTCCTGGGTGTGAAGAGCTGCCTGTGCAAAGCCAAATATATCACACAGGGATCAACCAGAGACTACAGCATCCATTTGCTCTTCTGTTTACAAAACAGTTAAGAATTTAGTCAGGGACCAGTCTAGTCCCACACAACCCATCAGGCCAGCCATCGCCCCTATTTCCAATGACATCCACAAGCACCTAGAAGCCTCTACCACACTGTAAATCAACATTTCAAGCATCCTGCTACTCACAGGTCCAAATTAGTCAGCAAAGCAGGACATCTTTGAGCAAGGTTCTTCCCCAGCCTTCCTACTAGGAAAATATTTCTTCTAACTTTAATCAAGCTATGTCCAGAATTAGATAAAATACACATTCAAATATGATTTAGCATAATACAACCAGGTAAGCTGTTATATAAAATAATGATTCTTCAGATACCTTTCTTCCCTTTTCTCTCTCTGCAGCTAGCACGTCCTATAATATCAAATGAGTTACAATAAGGGTCGATAAAGAAAGTGGGCACTGTCATGGGAAATCAGTCATAATTGTTGAGACTCCAATTGGAAATTGTTTTTAAACTATTTCAGGTTGTTAGCTGAAATGGAAAATCATTTTCCCTGTCTACAAAGCTCCTCTAACTCAGCCATCAAAAATTTATTTCCCCGATCATCCATTGCATCTTCTTGATCTTCCATTCTAAAAATGTCTTCCTTTCTCCACATTGAAAAAAGTTTGGATCTCAGTTATTTCAACCTTTCTCCACAGATTTAGATTCAAGAAACCTTTCGGGCAAGCCTAACTATGTGCTGAGCAATGCATAGTTAACTCTATTATCTAGAGATTTATCATTTTACAGATGAAGGAACAGGGGCTCTATTAAGTTCAGTGACTTTCCTGCTTTCACATACTTGCAAGTGGTCTCTCCAGAATTTCCAAGTGCATGTGCCGTCCATGAGGGCTGTAGGTAAAATATTTCCTCAGTATGGCTCACATGTGGTTTTAGCCTTCGGGAGTCAAGATAAGCTACTTGGTGTGGAGAGCGATTTTTGCTACTGGTGATTTTAGGCTTGGAATCAAGGATTACAAGCGAGTCACAGAGTGATAAACACAGCTATTGCATATTGCAATCTATTCATGAGAGACCTTCCCCTGGAATTGAAACAACAGAAAGTAATTCTTCTTTGTAGATACAATCCAATGAAGGCCCACAATTTACAATATATCAAATCTTATTTCTTTATGCCACTTCCATTCCTTAGCCAATAGACTGTTAGCTCAGAGGGTTGGAGCCCAGGATTAGTGAGGGAGGGCAAAGGCTCCTTCCTCCTTCCAGTGGCCTGCACACCTGCTTTTCTGGAACGATCCAGCAGGTGCTCTTGCTACTAGTTTCACCAAGAGGGACTGGACTTAGAACTTGTAGGCAAAGAGAAGCAGGGCATTCTAGAGCTAACATTAATACCAAGCAAAATATCCTATGTGCTGACATGACAAAAACTACTAAAATGATTATGGTTAGGAATCATTTCAGAATTTCAAGGCATAACCATTCACAAAATATAAACATCTTGTAAACTCTATCAAAACATAATGCTATCTCTATCACCACAGCAAGGAAACTCTCATTACAATCCCCTTCTAGAAATCAAGCATGCTGCTTTTGCCTGTTTGTTTCCTTGCTGCCTGTGTTACCCTCTACATTCTATATTCCATGAACAGAAGAAGCACACCTATTCTTCTCTACAGAAATCTCTTGGCCAGAAATTTTACATCTGGGGAACTTTAAATGTTAAAAGCCTACACAAAACTTTACATTGATATTCTGAGTAGATGATCAAAACTTCACCTTTACTGTGGTGAAAATTCCCTATATGATCTAGAATATTTTGATAATCAAGATATCCAAAATGCAACCAGGAGGGTAAACGACTTCAGAAATAATAGCAAGTTTTAGTTTCAATTTGTGACACAGGAGATGAGACCCTAAACCCAAATGGGTTAAAACCAGGAGAGCATTCCAGAGGCATTTGCAAATTAGTTAGTGCCCTCAATCACAGCTGGTTTATTGATGGAAAGAAAGAATAACAAAAGGATGTCTACAGTGTTAAAAGGTCAGAGCAGTAAAGGAGGAATAAGAAAAACATTTGGTCCTTACAGTACAAGGAGACTGCACGTATGAACTCAATTTGCCACCCCAAAGGTTTAGGCTGGGCTTATGCTCCTTTGATCTCCAGAGGAAATGCTTTACGCCTTGGAATAGCTGATCTTTTTACACTGGCTATGGCATCAATTCAAGGAGTCTTCTGTAACCTCTGTGCTCACAAACTGTCCTCATTTGTGCTATAAAAACCACAATAAACAAGACTTGGTGTGATCTGGATATAAACCTCCTTACTATCACTGTTTAAATGAAAAGGCATGGTTCTTCTCTCTAAGGCAGGGTTGCAGGGTACTGTAATGGTTGCTTATGTAAGTGTGGGTTGGGGGACAATTGCTCCCTCACACTATGCCAGATTCTGCATTATTTAAGTTGTACTCAGTGAATACAGAAAGATATAGGAGCTTCTGCCACTGCAGGTCCTGAAAGCACCCTAGGGCCATGCAGTCCAGGTTTGATTGAACTAAGTATCTGCCAATTAGGAATCATGGCTGCAGGAGCTATTAAATCAAGAGTCTTAGGAAACGAAGATTCCCTAGAAAACCCTCACACAGAGAGCCTAAGAACTGAATCAAGGCTTTGCCACTGTCTCTCTGGGCGGCCCTGTTGGAGTTCAACCCCCAAGAGCCTTGATTTCTTGTCCCGCGGTAAGTCACAGGCCAGGGTCGTTTGGCAATTAAGAAAGAGGCATATCTTCAAGGAACTCCTTCCAAATTTGCCTGGCATAGGGGAGTTGTTGAAGAATGTGGGATGTGAGTCTCTGGGAAGATTTCCCCCACTACTGTACTTTCAGGGCCAGCCTTCCTGGTTACATTCCCGAGATGGGTGCAGCGCTCAACTCTTAAGTCCAAATCAAAAGACCGCAACGGACCCGGGGTTTTTCTCCAAGAGACAAGGAAGGAAGCCAGCAGAAGCCTAACAAGCCGTGTGCAGATGACAGGCGCGCGGGCAACAAAATCTGGCGGGTCCCGCAACTTCCTCGAGGGCGGGGGAGGGGAGGAGCCGCGGCGGACGTGTAGCCCGCAGAGTATCCATTCCGTGCCCCTGGCCCCTGTCTTCCTGCTCCAACAAAATCGGCTTCTCTGGAGTGCGCCCTCCCTTCTCTGTGCGGGCTGCGAGCGAGACCTAGCGCTGCCGCTCACCTGAACCTTCCCGCGCTCCCTAGCTCCTCCTAACCGCGGCGACAGCAGCTCTCCGGGCGCTGCTCCCCTCGCCCCCCACCCCCACCCCGCAACGCCCAGGGCTCCCCGAGTTCCTGGATTGGGAGCGTCAGAGCATCAGACACCACCCGTGCTCTCCTGCCCCAGAGGCACCGGCTGGCTCCTTCCTCTCGGCTTTGGCTGGCAGAGCACACACACAGGGTGCGTGTCCCTTGAGGAAAGGGCGCCCCCTTCACCCTCTTCGCCCACCCCGGCAGAATCTCGCTGAAGCTTGGCCAAGGTCCCTTCCTCGGCCAGCCCGGGGGGAGCTCCCTGGAGGCAAGGGCGCTTTCTGGGACACAGTTCCACAGCCTTCTCCACCCCCATTTCTCATACGGACGTGGGGGGAGACTGGGGTGCTGGGGAGAAGAGAACGTGGCAGCCAAGTCCCTTTACCCGTCCTACCTCTAAATCACCCCACAGCATCCCCTCAGTGAGCTGGCATTTCCCTTCAGCACGGTAACTCTACCGAAAGCCCGCGGGCGACACCCCACAAAAACCCCGCGCTTCTGCTGCCCGCCCCGGGCCCGCCGGGCCGGTCCCGCCCGGGGGCAGCTTCCCCGTTTTCCCAGGAGCAAAACGCGGTCTACGCGCTTTGTAAGTTGCCCACCGCCCCCCCGCCCCCGCCGGAAGCACCCCCATGAGGGTCGAACCTGCGCCCGGCGCGGCAGCGGGGAGGTCTCCCCCAAATCTGCGCTCGCACCAGGTCCCGCCCCCTCTGACCCCCCTTTTCCCGCCTCCGCTAAAGCTCCAGTCCCCGCGCTCCGGCGACTCCGGCGCCCAGTGGACCCGCAGCTCGGTAAGAGGAAACTACTTTCTGGGCAGCATTCAGGTCGGAGCAGGAAAGGATGTCCCTGGCCGGCCGGGGCCAAGGGCGCACTCACCCCTCAAAAGCGCTCACCCCACCCGCTGAGACTTTTCCCTCAGGCCACCAGCGCTACCAGACTTTGCAGTCCACAAGGTCCCGCCAGGTCTGATACCGCCACGGAGTCACCTCAGATTTTTTTTTTTTTCCAGAGACCCTACCTGTCCCGTGTGGCTTGCCAAACACGAGTAAACAAAACACAAGCCCCGCCGACTTCGGGCCGTGTGCGTGTGTGTATGTGAGCGCGCGCACGAGCAAGAGAGCATCGCCCGAGAGTTCGGCAACAGCTGCAGGAGCATCTGGAAGAGGGGGAGGGGGCGCCGCGAGGGGACAAGGAGCACCCAGCGGCTTCAGGACCCAGGGCCCGGCCAGCCTGGCGTTCCTTACCTGTCCTATGTTGAGGAATCCGTACTTGCTGGCGATGCGGTCGGCCTCCGCGAAGCCGCCGGAGATTTTGACTGCCCAGTGGTTGGTGTAGACGCGCGTCCGGCACACCGGGAGCAGGCAGCCCCCGAGCAGCGCTAGCACGCACAGCAGGTCCAGTCGTCCCGGGCAGCAACAGAGGTTCCCCCAGCCCATGGTCCCGGCGCCTCGCTGCCTCTCTCCCTCGCTCGCTCGCTCGCTGGCTCTGCGCGCTGAGCGGCGCGCACAACTAACTTCGGCCTGGGCCGCCCCGGCGCGCAGCCCCGCGGCTCGCAGCCCCAGGCGATCGGCAGGAGGCGGCGAGCGCCGACAGGGAGCAAAGCAGCGGACCTCTCGCCGGCTCCTAGACCATCCCTGGGGCTGCGGAGACCCAGAGCTCCCCGCTCTCCAGCCCGCGGGGCGGTCAGCCGGCGCTCCTCGGCTCCGGCGCAGGGCGGGCGCCCTCCGCAGTTGGGTCTCTCCGGCCGGGCTCCGGGACTCCCCGACTGCCTCTTGCTCCTTCCTGGGCCCCCAAGAGCGGCGAAGTCGGCCGGCGGGGGCAGTGCAGCCAGCGGCCGGGCGCCCCCTCTGCTGGCCCGGGCTCCGAGCGCTCGCTGGCTGGCTCCCTGCGCTCTCTCCGGCACCGAGCAGCGCGCGGGGAGTGAGAGTGGCAATGGCAGCAGCGCCTGCTCTGCATAAATGACTCCCCCCGCCCCCTTCAACACCCCTCCTTTCCCACATCCCCCTCCTCCGCCCTCTCGAGAGAGGCCGCGGCCAAGCGCCAGCCGGGTCCTAGCGCCTCCGCGTTCTCCCGCTGTAATCTCCCGAGTCCCGGGCGGCCGAGGCAAGCGAGTCTTCTCAAATGACACGGAGGGGAGCTCCGGGGTCTTGATTTAACCCCTTTTTTCCCCTCTCTTCGTTACAGGATTTGTATTCTTCCGCCGCCCGTTTCCGAAAGACCGAGATTGGCACGCTGGTGCGAGTGAAGCGCCCAGAAGATTCATTCATCCTCTCCCTAAACGTCCTTAAACAACTAAGCATTTAAGGAGGTCACTGGCGTGTCAATTACCCAACAAATAACCCGAGATTTTCACTTCGTTAATTCTTCACGCTTTTCAGCAACTGTTTATTTTACACATTCTACTCCTGGGAGGAACTACCACCCAGGACAGCACATCGCGTGGACTCTGGCAAACGCCAATCGCCACGGCTCCAAAGCCAGGTCCAGCGCCCGCTGACTTTCGAAATCGGCGCATCCGATAGCAGGCAGAGCCACGCGAGAGCAAAATTCCAGCCGGGGAACTGAGGAAAGGTGTTTCTATGAAAATCTGGTACAAAAATGGATGGAGATGTTGGGCCAAGGGAATACTTCATTCATTTGTTTCGTGGCTCCTTTCTCCCCACCAAGGGAAAAAGTTTCCCAACTTTTCCAGTTACAGCCCTGTAACCACTACAGGCTTTAACAGAAACAGGACCACAGAGAAACTTCTGATGAAGTATGCGGCCGCCTTCAAGGCTCACTGCATGCACAAGGCAGGAGGGAACTAGGATGGACTCTCTTCCAGCTTTTCCTGTACAGCCTCTCTGCCTTGTGCATGGGGCTGATGCACAAACGGTGAGTTACTGTAAAAGAAAGAAAAATCGTCCTCATGAATGAAGCCAACTTGCCTTTAAAGTCTTTACTATAGCCTGAACTCGCCCACCCCTGTTTTTCTCCCCTTCCTCCCATGTCCTGTTCTCTTTCTTCCTGAGCGTTAGTTAAGCCTATTTGATAGTCTAACCCATCACGTCTGTCGTTTCCAGTAATGATTGTGTTATCTAAATATGCTTGCAAACAACATTCTGCTAGCACTTTGGAGCTGAACATTTTATGACATTTCACAGACTGTGGAGATGAGCTGTATTATTGAATCTTGTAAACAAAACCCACAGAATGACGTCATCCTCGCATTACTGATGAAGTAGGGGATTAGAAGAACTAAATCATTTGCAGAAGGACACATTTTATTCATTTATTTATTTTACTGATTTACCACCTCTGTTTCTGCTTGTATGTTGAACCGGGCACTGGAGAATGAGAAAGGGGAGATAGAGGAGACACAAAAGATTAGTGGAATTCAGACCCTATGAATTTTCCAGAGTCAATGTGGTTCACCATTAGTATTTGTTATTGCTTGTAAGTAGAAAAGCATACGCACAATGCTCAGGGTTAAAAGTCTTGGTACACTCTTGCCTCTGGCCAGTCCCTCCCCAACTACGGAGCCCAGAAAATTCAGAATCTATTAGATCTTGGGTAACTTCCACCCTGACCATCTGCATCTATACATAGGCATTGGATTGTCCCTCTAGAAGCTGATGGTTTCACATGGGATGAGAAGTGTTCGGTCAAGATCCAAATGTCAACACACACGTAAGGGATAATCAGTTCTCTTTTCTTTCGGAATTGTGGGCATTTGCTGTGAAGTAGGAGGGACATCTTGTCTACCCATGATTCAGAGGAAAGTGGCCGTTGCACAAGATATTTTACGAGTTAAATTTGAAGCATGACCTGTGGATTTCTCTCCAGGACTCTGGGGCCTTACTGTTTAGGACTACAAAGGTAGGGCAAAGTGCTTCTTTTTGAAAGCCATGCTGCCCTGGGCTTCAAATGAAATGAAGAGGAATCATGGTATTTGGTCTTCTAAGATCTGAAGACTGTTTCCTGGGGGTGGAAAAATTACTCATTAATAATTTTCTTCCATGGTATCTTTCTCGTTTCCTTCCACTAACACTCTTTGCAAGCATCCTTTGCAAACATTCCCAACATTGAACGTGAGGAAGAATTGGAAAATAAGATAGAGAATGAGCAAACCACTTTTCTACCTTGTAAACTAATATTTGAGCCAGGCTTTAGATTACTCAAAGGGCATAATCTTCTATTTGGATGTATATATAGTTAAAGGAAAAATACCTAGGTGTGTGTGTGTGTGTGTGTGTGTGTGTGTGTGTGTGTTTAAGGATTCATTCATTTATTTGAGGGGCAGAATTACAGACAGAGAGAGAAAGAGAGACAGAGAGGTCTTTCATCCTCTGGTTCACTCCCCAAAGGGCTGCAATGGCTGGAGCTGGGCCAATCTGAAGCCAGGAGACAGGAGCCTCTTCTGTGTCTTCCACTTGGGTATGGGGGCATAAGCACTTGAGCCATCTTTCAATGCTTTTTCCAGGCCATTAGCAGAGAGCTGGATCTGCAGAGGAGCAGCCTGGATATGAACCAGCACACCTGTGGGATGCTGGCTCCACAGGCAGAGGCTTAACCTCCTATGCCACAGTGCCAGCCCCAGCTCTGTCTTTTTGAAAGAAGATTTGGACGCTCTATAAATCTGTTAAATCAAATATATGAGTGTAGATTCATTCCTTCTATTTCCCATCACTTTTGCAGTTACCTTCCAGATCAATTACAAGTGCATTCTCAAAAAGTGGGATTCCTAAACGAAAATTATATCAAATATCATACCTCTCCCATTGATAAATAAGCAGATGCTTCTTTCTGCTTTGGGATCTACCTAAATGAACTAGTTACTTTTGTGGATAGCCCTGTTGGCCAAGAAGAAAGCTTACAGATAAAGATCAGTAGCTGAATCAAAGTTGGGCTCTGTTTCTTGTAATAGCCCTACTAAAAATACCTCAGAAGTCAAAGAGAGGAGGAACTGGTAAAATAATAGTGGTTAATGCAAAACCATCACTAACATTGGAAAAGAAGTTAAAATCTAAGTCCTGTGTGACTGAATGCTTTCTAGATGCAAAGAATGGCACAGCAATATTTGACCCTCAACTCTCCCTCTATGAAGTGCCATAAGGCAGGAAACCAGGCAGGTACAAGTTTTACTCTGCTTTGTACTTAGCAACATGTTACTTGATAATGAGGCCCCACTAGTGTCTGGCCTCTCTGCCAAGGTCAAGAAAATTTCAGTGAAATGCAATGAGCAGAAAGCTAAGCAGTACAGCAGGAGGAATGAATAAGAACCTGGTAAGGACATAAGGGAACTCTGCAAGTAGGAATTATCCTGGGGAGAGTTTGCTTCTCACTTCTCCTACATCCTTTGCTGGAAATTGAGATCTCTTCTAGACTGAGATTCTTGAATCAATGATAAAATGTTAATGAGAATTCTGGTGCTAACCAAGGGCGGAAGAGTGTCACTGGACATTTCACTACCCAGTAGAAGAACTGCCAAACCTGTGGCATTCTAACAGTCTTCTAGTATACTCAATTCAGAATTGGCAGTGAAAGTTCACCGAACTTAATAATCATAATAATCACAAGTTATAGTAATCACTACAATTTAATAAGTCCCAGTTATATGCTAGTAGGCACTGGGTCAAAAATATTTTAGGTCTTAATCTCATTCATAGAGTATTTGAACCGAAAAAGACCTTAGATATCATGTACTCTAACTTCTTTATTTAATAAGATAAAAGTATTGGGGCCAATAGAAAGCCAATTTGGAGGACAGTAATTCTGCCAGGAAAAATTAGTAAACATATGGGTGAATACTATGGCAGAGGAAGGGCTGCATGGATAAAAGATGATAGTGATCTATGAACCAAGGTATAACAATCTAATTTGCATACCTGGATTAATCAAATTAATTCAAATCCAAAAAAAAGGAAATGCTACCTACCATTTTAGATTCCTTAGGTAAAATTTGATCACCACCATTTAAAAATGCATATTGATACATATGAGCTGTGGACAAGAATTCATTCACTGCTTCATATTTTATTAATTGCATAACATTTATATAATTGGACACTAATAAGTGACTAATGACCTACAGATCTCAGGAAGTTTTAGCTCACTCTTTGTCTTAATTGAAGTTGGCTTTGTTGACCCTCTTCTGTGTACATTGTGTTTATTTTTTTAATATAAAAAGAACAGATTTCATGTACTTTATAGGTACAGTTTTTTTTAGATTTACTTATTTGAAAGAGTTACAGAGAGAAATAGGGAGAGAGAGAGAGAGAGAGGGAGAGAGAGAGGGAGAGAAAGGGAGAGAGAGAGGGAGAGAGAGAGAGAGAGATCTGCCATCTGCTGGCTCACTTTCCAAATGACCACAACAGGGGCTGGGCCTTGCAGAAGCCAGGAGCTTCATATGTTTCTCCTGTTTGGATGCAGGGGCTCAAGGACTTGGGCCATCTTCCACTGCTTTCCCAGGTACATTATCAGGGACCTGGATCAGAAGTGGAACAGCTGGGACTTAAACTTGCAACCATATGGGATGCTGGTATTGCAGGTGGCAGCTTAACCCATTGTGCCACCAGGCTGGCCCCTCATAGGTACAATTCTAAGAGCACTGTACTTCTCTTCCTCCTTACCTCCCTCATCACCCTCCTTCCTTCCTTTATTTTTTTTCTTTAATTTTTACAAAAACATAATTTCACTCCACTCTATAATCATAGGTTTAATGCATCACTAACCATAATATTCAATAAATAAAAAGTAGAAAGACCAGAGTTTCATAGCAGTGTAAACAAGGGCTAAAAACTACCCTACAATGAGAAATTCGTTCCCAGAAAACTTCCCATTGGAAGCAAATTATCAATGTTGTAGGTGATTTCTTCTTGATATAAATTAAGAAAGTGACACCAAATGTCAGTCACCTTATGGCTTCTAATTCTGGTCCCAGACCAATGTCTTCATTAGGATGGATATGATGGATGGATGTG